GACTAGACAAGGTAAAAATCTGCACACGTTAACAAGGCGAGTATCTGTGCCACCATCTCGAAGACATAAAACGGCAGCAGACTACAAATATCTGAGTAAAGAACCTAAACTCGGCCAAAAAGCTTACAGGTTCACCATGAACGGTTATAATGATCAAAACCTGAACTTTAAAGATTGTCAAACATTTGTCTTTTATTTTATTAAACTATTATACCAGGTTATGTTGTTTTTCTTTAGGCTCCTTCCTTCTGTACGAGTCACTACAGCGAGCGAACTTGAAGAAAATATTTGGCATTTGTTTTACTCAGAACATCCTAACTGATGCAACTTGGGCTCAAACTTGCCGCCTCATTAGTACAAGACCGCAGCACCACCGAGCCACCGTAGCCTTATCAATAGTACTTCTTTTTATTTACATACTACACATTAGCCTACCAAGTTGTCTAATCTACTACATGGATAAAATATATACGCTGAAGAATAGTGAATTAGTGTTTGGGCTAAATTAAAGCTCAGTTATATTTGTTTAAATACTAAAGTTCATAATATACGAGGCTCAATATTTCCAGAATTATGGAGGAAAAAGACAATATAATAACTTTAAGCTATTGGTTTAAGTAAAACAAACTACAAACATTGGCATTAGAGCTTGGGTCAGACTAAGCAGACATGCAAAAGGCATAAAGTGCAGTTCTGTGCTGGTCTGGCACTTGTTGGTTTTATTACAGCACTGGTGGCGTGCTGGGTCGATGTTTTGCTTCTCTTGACCGGACTTAGTGGGAATCTCATAGACTCGTCTTCTTTTTTTACAAAATGCACGTTATATATTTATTGAAATTTTTAAAATGCTATTTTTGTGCATTTTTGGACTGATGACAGCTAACAGCACACAAAAAGGTGTGGCTTTGATATGTAAACGGTACAGGTGGACGTACGTAGCACCTAGCAAGATGGTGGCAACAAATCTTGCATAGCATTGCCAATGGCCATTCCATTGTTTACCCTGCTTAGACTAGCCGTTAGCTCATATATCCAGTCTAATTCTCAAAATAAGGTCAGCCAAAGAGCCATCTATAACAGGTAAGATATTAACTGTGCAAAACTTTTCCACAGAAACCCTATCTTAAATGACCAAACTATCCCTTTACCTTAAACTAGGATTCACTCAAAGAAGAAATAGGAATGAGACCAGATTAAGGCTACAAAGCAAACTTAAAGAAACTAATGTTTGTATTTTTTGTTTGCTTTACCAAAAATAAAAAAATAAAAAATAAAAACTAGTAGAACAGTTGTTCTTAATACCCAGCATTTCAACGATTTAACACAAAAATCACACCGCAGAGTCTCTTCTGTTAGCAGCGTTATCTAGACTCTTGGATACAGACGAAAAGTACAAGTTTACTTTTACAATTCTCAAAAGCAAAATGAAGCAATCCCCTTATATTATATTTATTCATGGCTGCTTCGATCGTTACGCTTCATTTCTAATTAAAATTAGTTAAAATTCGTATCTCACAGCATTTGCTCTTAGGGCTATGTTTCAAAATCACAAACTGTTTCAACGCACATCAATTGTATACCTTAAAAACCAACAAGAAATGAGCCGAAACCTGAACAATGTTGACAATTACAAATCACAGCCATCTTTCATCATCAAGCGCACACTTTACAGTACATGTAGTTTGACTAGCGTTAATAAATTAGCCGCATGTCGTCGTCGAGCGTAACTGGTTAGTGAGTCAGTTAATTTGAGAATACGTTTACAGAACAGTTGCCTAAAGCTTTAACATTCAGATACAGACAGGAACAGATTATTTTATGAGTTTTAAACGTCACAGCAAAATAAAAAAATACTTCACGTTTACCTAAAAGTTTATCCGCTTCATACGGTTCTGTCAAGTTTGAACCGTACAGCTCCCCTGTATTCATTACGCTGCGTCCTGGTTTAAGGCAGTGCATGACAGAATGGACCGCCCGTGGAAACCTTTCCCTCTATATTTGCATTAAAGTGTAAGAGAGAGGACTGCCCATGGCCTCTAGGTGTAGACAGCCACTATTATGCAGATGGGTTTTGGTCATTAATACCTTGTTAAGGCCCACAGAGGAAATTACATTCAACCTTAATTAAATTCATTCAGTTTTATGTCAGTATCCGGGTGAAAGTGTAGTCGTTTCACTTTTCCTTCAGCATACTCCGTGTGCGAGGGAGACTATTGAACCCAAGACATTTAGTGTGGCAGTTTATGACTCGATCAAAAGTTTGCGCAGGTTTTATGGCACAGCTTTAGAGTGCTCAGGCGGGCAGCATAAAACACGGGCACCAGCGGCACCAGCTGTGAGTACATCTGTTCTTAATTTATGGTGGTAGGGTGCCGGATATACCACAGCATAGTATGAAGCTTTCCAATTTGCTGAAGTATAACTTTTTTAAAAAAGTGATCACAGCGATGGACACACCCAACATTTCCTTTCCTTGGATTGGGTAGCATCTCCAATTTTAAATAAATAATAGGATTTTACACTCATCAGAACCTCTTACTACCTGTAAACTGTGAAAACAGCATCATATTGTGTGATTAAAAATAAAACTCAATTTGACTAAACTTTGGCAGCTTTTACGTACTTTTCTTTCAAGGGTTTTCCATTATCAAAATACTTTCATTGACGAGTTAGGAACAAGTTGGATGCAGAATGGTCTATAGGCAGACCAGCGATGGGTATGGAAGGTATTTACTTTTCAAGGAGCTGGAATATCTAGTATAAGCACCAGAGGATATAAATGGTGGCATCATAAGAGCAATCGTGTTGCCAGCCAGTTGGTAGAGTGTCTAACAATCAAGTTAAACAGTGAGTAATGTTCAGCGGACACAAAGATGCCTGGTAGAGTCTTTAGACAGCATTACCAACACTTGACAAAGATTAATAGTGGTCCCATTTTTGATTAGCACGAGGTCAGGGGGTCAAATTGTGAATTGCCCAGAATTCATTCAACCTTCCATTCAACCAAAAGGGCATTAGAGAAATTCCATTGACCTAATGTTGGAACCAGTGGGTGCCAATGGGTACGCGAGGACACCTTTAAACAATGAAGGTTTCAGTCACCCCTACTCAGATGGCACCCTGGTACATTTCATCACCATAGCAATGTCCATCCACAAGTAGCACAAGTGGACTGCCTACACTATGTAGATCCTCCAGTCTTTACCTAAGTGAACATGTGTTGGATCAGCTCGAACATCACCTCAACCCCAGTGCCAATCTATTAGATCTCAAGGGACAGCTACAACAACCATGGGCTAACTTGTTGCTGGAGGGGATATAACCGTACGACTCAGTTCTGCACAGAATGACGGCATGTATCCAGGCCTAAAGGGTGCCAGACCCTGCAGGTACGGAACGAGCAGTATGCTCGTACGGCCAACACCATTATCTACTTGACTGACATTGCAGTCGTTGCGAAACAGCCATACATTCCTGGATGCAACACGTGTAGGTTAATTGTGTTTTCGCCACTCCGCCTGAGCACTTTACTGTGTGTGTCAGTAAGCAAAGATCAAGTTACTCAATAATCATATCTGTGCCAAAGGAAATTGTTTTGAAGGACAAGCAAGACTAAAAGACTTCAAGGTGTAGTTATAGTGACCGTTGTCCTTTAGAATTAACTGTGACTACAGAAGCGTTGGTAATTTTTAGGGAAAAGTTGCTGAGTTCATTAGAAGTTCAGTGAAATTGAAGAGGCTATATTAATTGAGAAATGGCCGACTTCATTACCCCTACCCTTTTGTTTTGAAAGTTAAAGCCAAGGGGTAAAGATGTCCCAGTTATGCTTTTACGATGCAGAGGGAAGGGAAAAGGGCCTTCAGAGATTCCTCAAGAAAGCACTTCAAAGAAAAGGATATTGACTGCACTTGCCAAAAACTAACTCGCAATTTTGTTTATTTCTCAAAACAACCACTGTAAAGTCAAGCTTGACGTTCTCCTCATATTACATATTTAGTATTGATTTTTAACGAGCATAAAACAAAACGATGTAACTCTGTTTAAAGCTAGTTAACTAGTCAGGTAACACATACGGGCATATTTACCTAACGGTAACGACTGATGGCTAGATTACTGGCTGCACAGCATAAAGGAAAGAGTGACAGTTGAGCAGATTATGGAATCGGTGTCCCATTTTGTAAAGGAATATTTGAGGTCCTACCCCTTGTGAAAATAAATTAGGGGTCAAAAATTTGTTGTAGGAGTATTGTTAGAATATGGAATTCAGCCCTAGTTACCATTTAGTTACTGAAATGTTTTTCTAACCACCAAGAAACTCCATCTAAGGTTCCACTTTCTAATCTGACCTTTGATATTAACCTAGTGAGTTGTGAGAAAAGTTGGGAAAAAGTTCACTTGGAATGTTTGGAAGATACGGAATCGAGTAAAGTTGACTGTAAAGAAAAGCAAAGTATAACCAAGTCATTGAGAGTGAATTTATCGGAAGCGTTTCCTTTCAGTGAAATTTTCTTCTCTGTAACTTGGATTTAGTTTCCGAGCCCCAAACTTTTCACATTTTATAAACATGCATTCTTAACGAGCTGCCTTTTTAACATTTTTCTTGATCTAGTAAGACATTAGACAATTTTCTTTTTTCTTTTTCTTCAGTCAAACAAGCTAAACTATTTTGCTACGGGGCAAACGTTTTTGTTGATCAAACTCATTAATGTCTAAAACTCAGTGGTTTGGAGGCCAAACTTTCCAGATTCTAAGGTATAAAACAGCTCAACCGTTACGTTCCCATGAAGTTGTCGCTACAATACGTCCAATATAAGCTGAATGTCAATAACATTTCAGTTGTAGTCATAGCTAATGCAGCTTAATAAACAGAAACTGTACCTCAAAGCTTCCATCAGTACAACTCCCGGTTGGACGGTTGTAAGAGAAGTCTGGTGGAGCCCAACAGTTGGTTTTGAATCGTGAGAGGCACCTCTTGGCTTGGAGCTCAGTTTTGATCGCAGCTGAAGATGTTGAACGGTTGCAGTGGTGGACATAAAGAAGAACATTTTAGATGTTGGTTTCCTTCTGCATGGCCTCCTCGTCTTTTGGACTTTTGTCGACCAGCTCCTCCGAGGTCTGAGGCGCACCATCCGCCTCCTTGCCGTCCTGAACTTGGTCAGGATCTTCCACCTCAGTCCGTTTGTACATCTCTGCTTTCTTGCGCTCGCGATCCAGGAGTCTGTAGTTAATGAAGTTCCCGATGAAGAGCCAAATGCTGGCCAGAATCACAACGCCTCCACAGCAGAAATACATGTACTTGTAATTTTTTGTGATATCGACCAGTTTTCCTGAAAGACAAATCAGAGTTTTAAAATGTGACATTTTGCTTTTGAGGTCTTGTTGAGAATCTGAAACTACTAGCGTCAAATGTATGGGTAGTAGTGCCAAAAAATGAGACTGTACCAGCTAACGGTGGCCCAATGAGAACTGGGCAGCACTCGACAATGGTGGTGAGTCCAACAGCACTGGAGAACCTCTGAGCTCCAACCAGGTCCATCAGTGTCTCAAACAGTACACAGCTGACCATCCCAAAGGCAAAGCCAAAGAATACGGAATACACCACCAAGCCGGTGTAGTCTTCAACTAGTGGGCAGAGAATGTGGCACACACCATTGTACAAAACAGCAAAACTGAAGAAGTACTGGATCCTGGGTCGGACCCAGCGTGAGTTAGCCAGAAGCCCCATGGAGGGCCTGGCGAACATGTCAACAAATGCTAGGATTGAGAGCAAGAAGGCGGCGGAGTATTCGTCCACGCCCATGTCCTTTGCGTAGGCTGTCAGGAAGACAATGGGTGCAAAGAAGCCCAGGAACATGATACAGTTGCCTGACAAGTAAATTAAGAAGCCGCGATGTTTGAAAAGCGTCAGGTCCAGGTACTTGTTGATTAACTGCCAGGCACTGCGCTTTTCAGTCGTGGTAATGGCTGCCAAAGCTTCATCCTTCTTGACTTTGCCAGGTGGTGGTCCTAGGGGCCTCATGAGGGAACCAGCCACACAGCAGTTCAGGAGGAGGCCCCCCAGGATGAGGAAGCTGCCCCTCCATCCAAACTGATTAAAGAGGTACTGGTTAAGGGGAGCCAGGGTACTGAGGAAGACTGGGCTGCCTGCCATTGCTAGTCCATTAGCAATGGGCCGCTTCTTGAAGAAATATTTGCCTATCATGGTGAGCGCTGGCTGCAGGTTGAAGGCCAGTCCAAGACCTAAGATAAAAGGAGTGTATTAGACATAAAGAGCTATGTCAAAACATAAGAACCTATTTGGTAATTTCTCAAATAAGTATGAAAAAATAAGCAAAGTTCAGCCAAACTGAACCCTTGGATGATTTAAATACGATCAATACTCGGGTAGTTTAAAGCTCTGAACGTCACACTACACAGTTTTGAGTTTATAAAGTCCCCCAGATGGACAGCACATCTTCACCTACAGAACAGACCCAGTTGGTTTGTTCTTTTAAAATTTCTGGAATCCCCAAAGTGAAAGTTTAGCCTGATGGATAACAAAACTAAAACATAAAGGCTGTAGGAGTAGCAAAGACAAAACAATACTTTAATTTAAAGTTTAAAATGTACCCGTCAATGCAACCCTGAATTTATTACTAATTGGCTAATGTGTAGCTGTACCCAGTCTTCAGTCCTAATCTGCTAATATGCAACTATAATCCTTTCCATTAATAATGAGTTATATGACACAGCTATACTCCAACTTCATTACAATAGGTTAATATAATGGAGCTACACTCCATCTTTATTGCTACTTATCAAATACTAGATAGATATGCTTTGTCTTCATCGATATTTACCTAATATCATGCAGCTATACTCTGTAGCCATACGACGTCTTCATTGGCTAAAATCATGTTTTTTAATTGTTAACTAACCAATAATATGTTTCCATAATATGTCTTTTTTCTAATTAGCCAGTAATATGTAGATATATTGTCTTCATCATAATTAACTCATATCTGTAGCTGCACACTGTCTTTATTGCTAATTAGACAATATAAAGTAGAAATACTTTGTCTTCATTGGTAGAGAAATAATATCATGCTGATATAGTCCTTAATAGCTACTTAGCCATTATTATGCATCTATATGCCATCTTAATTGTTATTTAGCTACTTTCAGTCAATCGCTAACGCTGTGTTGCTAAACTCCAGCTCTTTTGTTAATTAGCCACTAATATAGAGCTCTCTCCTTTGATGTAGCTATATTTTGCTTTCATTGCTCATTAGCTAAATATTATCTAGCTGTACTCTATCTTCATTAGTATTAGCTAAAACGTGTAAACCAGCCAGTAAACACATCAGGGGGGATTTCACGTTTGTTCAAGGAACCAATCCGTTTAAGTGTGCGCGCCTTGGTATAAAGCTGGAAATTAAAAAGACGATACACAATTTAAAAATAAGGTGCAGTGCAACAGTTTGATTATAAAACATATTTCCTGCTGAACCAGTTTAACAGTTACGTCGGGTAAACTAATCTCATCAACTGTAAAATGGATTTATGTGGAATCAAACCGACGTACCTCCGATGACTCCTATGCAGATGTAAAGCTGCAACACGTTGGTGCAAAAAGAAGCTAAGATCATGCCGGTGGAGCAAAGGCAGCCCCCCATCATGACAATGGGCCTGCAGCCATATGTGTTGACCAGAATGCTGCTGATGGGGCCTGAAACGAACAAAAACAACAGAAACATTGTGTGTTTAATGTTTTAAGATCGAGGGAAGTGACTATACGAAGGTTTGACCTGGTTGGTGCAGCACGCCGAGGTAAACCTAATGATAGCAGAGAACATCACTTCCTGTTTGTGTGTCAAATGAACGTACATAATGAGCAATGATTTACAATCTTCATAACTTGTTTCCACATATTTGTGTTTTAGGAAATGTTTTTCAGCTTATAAGCAACCAAACCTAAAGGTTATTGTTAATATAAATTTAAAAAATACAATTTCAGCTGCTCCTTTCTTTAGAGGCCACAGTGAACTAACTCACACGAAGTCTTGGCGATTGTTTTTACGCTGGACGCCCTTCCTGACGCCACCACAGACCACCGAGCTACCACAGCCCTCTGTGTGGAGCTGCCATCATGGGCGCCCGGGGGAGGAGATGGTGGGGGTTAAGGACCTTGCTCAAGGGCCCAGAGTGGTGCAAATGAGATGGGAGGCAGGTGTGGGTGTTTCAACTTTCCCATCCACATTTTGATGTTGTCGTCCAGGGAGATGAACCAGCAACCTTCTGATCACAGTCCTACCTTCTCTAAACTCTGCACCACTACTCATATAGTTGTTCTCCTGTGTATTAAAGAAGTAGATGAGCTTAACTTTATTTCATTTTCCAAGAACATCTAGTAATCTTAAAGTGAAACGGCTCCATTGTTGCTTTAAAGGTGACTTTAAATGTGCATTAACTACTTTTCTGGTCATCGGGGGCAGTACAACATCAAAGCTGGCACATTATGGTTAAACAATATATTGTTAATGACTAACATCTTCAGTTTTTAGGTTCTTTCAAAAAATATGACACTTTCATTGTTTGTTTACATGGAGGGGGCGAGAACCAGGAGCGCTGGGAAAAGGTCCAGTTCTGGCTTCAACTTCCAGGTTCCCAAAGGATGTCTAGTTTTCTTTAATGGGCCGTGCTGGTTTGGCTCACTCTAAAAAAAATTTTAAAAATAAAAAGAGTGTCCCCCAACAACAACAACAACAAAAAAATTATGAACATGCATAAAAAGAAAATGCAAAAACGTCAGGATTTTCTGTTAAAAATATTTTTGTTGGCACAAAAAGCAGTTAAATTAAATTTTCTGTCACCTTCATTTTTAACAAGCATAAAAAAAAGGAAAAAGTTGCATCTTTTGTCTGAGCTGACCATCTCATCAAACACTGAAAGGTCTAGTTTCATGTATTTTTATGTTTGATGGTTGTACCATCATAATTATCTTCCAACATGAATATATATATATATATATATATATATTCAGATATGTTTTAATATGAAGTCTGTTGCAGGCTTGATTAGTTTTACTCTGTAAACATGTGCGTAGTCATATTTGGTCAAAACGCAGTAACATCAGAAAACGATGCACGTTTTTACTTTTAATGCTCAATAAAATAAAACTTTCCGTTTTAAACCTCTTCCAGTACCAGTCGATTTGGGGGCGTTGCATTTTCTAAACTCGTCTGTTTGGAGCTCTAACACTGAAAATGATGACAATTCTTTGAATTTCAAACGGTTTCCAGCAGTTTGAAACCAACGACCGACGAGTTTCTCTGAAACAAAATACTTTGTTAAGTTAAAATCGACTTGCGCGTGTCTGAAGTTTAAGTGAATTTCAAGTGCAGGCGGTGTAATTTGAAGAGATTTTTTGGGCTCTTGAAAGGATGTATCTTATTTCTGCCAGAGCCATTTTAAAGCCCACAGCCGACGAGGAGCCATCTCACTTCATTTGCTCCGCATGAATCTTTGCTCGACCTTGAGGAAAGTTCCCCTCATTTGCATCCGCAGCAGTCATCAGTATTCTCGGGGGGCTCGACGGGACTCGAGTCGGCCAAGATGAGGAAGCCCCTGAGCCCGCACATTACTTCCCTGGAAAAAAAAAAGAAGGCTTATCGTCTCGGGGCCAGAACCAGCGTGGACTTCACTGCACGGTGGACAAAACCCTGAACTAAATATAACCACCTAGATTCTAGAAGGAAATGGCACAATACAGAAGCTTCTTTATCAAAAAGGTTAAAACAGACAAATTTAAAGATTTAATGCCTTTCTTTTATTTTACAAATGTGTTTGGCATTGACACGTTGTTTCCTAACTGTCCTAAAACCTGTCGCACAAAACCTACAACCAAAAAATAATAAAATAAATAAAAACTCGGAGCTTTCTTCTGTTCCTGCCATTGCAGTTTACTTTGAAAGGACTGCACAGTAGAAACTAGGGTGACAGGTGAGCTCAGCTATACTGTCAGTGTTTCCCCGAGATAACGTGCCATGGCAGGGCGCTCATCTCGTCCAAGATTTTTGTCTACAGAGGAGCGGTGGGGGGGTGGAGCTACGTCTGAGCTGCGCGCTGTTTGTACTGACAGTTTTCAACAGCGTGAACGCTGCCTTTAGCTTTTTAGCTAGCGCGCTTGTATTGCGTGCTGTTAGCTAAGTGCTATGTCAGTGCCAATGAGGTGGCGGTGCATGCAGTTCTGTTCGGTAGGCAGTTCTGTTGACAGGGCGGGGCGCCCTGCTTGTATAATGGTAGAGGAAACCCTGCTGTCAAACAGTGGTGGGCACAGCTAACCAAAAAGTTAGCTTTGCTAACATACTCGGCTAACTAAATAATTAGTTTCACTGACGCTAAACTGCTAACCACTTAGACAACGGTCCCTCAGTCTGCGTCGCACGTCTCTTTTCGCTAGAAGCTGTCAACCAGTCACATCACCTGTACACATAGTCAGCCCGTAGCGTTGCTAAGAGACTCTTTGAGACACGCCCACATGAGACAGGAACAAGCTTGTGAATTTTGTTAGCGAACATAAAGTTTGCGAAACCTAATTTAGCAGAAAGTAATTCTGCTAACGGTTTCCAAGTTTACCGAAAACGCTAATCCGCTAAACGAAAACTCAGTTCCACTATTAGCTGTTAGCGGATTAGCGGAACTGTGCCCACCACTGCTGTCAGACCACGTGCATCCTCCTCCATGTTGATCCGCCAGACAAGTAAAAATTGTCCAATATTAGAAGAACAATAAAATAATTACCAGCAGATATGGAGATTTGGAGTGGTCTTGCCTATAATGACCGTTTGCCTAATCTAAAGCTCTCAACACCAAAGCAAAGCAAGAATATCAGGTTCAGATGGAATTTGAAGACATGTCTGTTTATTTCAAACCAGTTTATGTTCCAGCAGTAACGGAAAACCAGAGATGAGTGACTGATAGTGAACGCAACACACTCGAGGTGAACCTGGTCTCTGGATTAGCGGCACCGATTCCTCCGACTCTCAACAAGCAGCTTAATCCTGTGGACGTTTCTTAAAGGGAAAAAAGCAACCGCCTCATTTATCTGCTTTAAAATACCATTTCATTTTATTTTAATTTGCGCAGTAAACTAGTCAATCTTTTAGAGCTATCTCAGCCTGAAAAATGTATCAAATTTACATGTTTTTTTTTATTATTATTTTTATTAGAATTTTTTTGGGGTCTCTATATATATATATATATATATATATATATATTAATCCACATTTCAGTTTTCTTTTGAAATCAACAACAAAAATTATGGCATAAGACATTTGCCTTCATTAGTACACACCAAATGATGTTTTGACCATTTTTAGTAAGATTCCAGTCCAGAGTTTTGTAAAGACCCACTGGACCTTTAGACCCAGTGGCTGAAAACGAGTCCTTGTTTTCATTCAGACTCACTCCTGTCTCAACATCTGGACATTTTTTATTGCACTACTATTTTTTTTAAAGCTCCACTTGTGGTAGAAAACCCCCGTTTCTGTTTTGTTTATTGCTTCTACTGACCCCGATATTCTAATATATCAATATATAAATGCTACAGGAGCACAGTGCAGGTGTGGGTGCTTCACCTTTCCCACTCACATTTTGACGTTGTCAGTTCGGGGAGCCAAACCGTCGCTTCTCTAACCTCTGCACCACCACTTCCTCTTACTAAATGTTGACTTGAGCAGAATACAAATGTGTTTTTCCATCTTTATTTTCAAACTAAAACAAAGTTTGTCAAACGAGATGAGAGACGGGACTCCGCTCCGCTGCGGCATCTGGCCGATCGAAGGCGCTGCTCGCGTGGCGAATGGAAGAGACCTGTCGGGGAGATTTTCAGAGGCTCGCCAATATAAAAGCGGAGGACCACCTAGTGGGCTAATCAGAATCAGCTTCATTATCATTGCACCGAGATACAACGAGAACACGTACGTACAGTCGTCCGTAAGATGGACGTAGTGCACAAAGCTGCTGCTAATTAGCGCAACCTTCTTAATTCTTCCTCAGAATAATATTTTTGCTTAGATGAGAAAAGAGAATAAAACATGAGGAGAGACGGTATAACAAAAAAAATATCTCTTACACCTTGTTCTAGACAGGGCACGATTTGAGGCATAAAAAAAACTAAAGTATAGCAACAGAGGTAAAAAGAAACATTTCTGAGAGGAGTTCATGATTTTATGATATGATGAATATGGGATTAAAAGTTGCATTTATAAGGTAATTTCAATATGGTGGATTTTTCCCCTCAGAAACAAAAAAGGAGTAAAGTTACTGTGAGGTTATGAGAGCGTCTGAAAAAAATCTGACCAATTTTTTTTTTTAAATGACAAGGATTTTAGGCTTTGTCAGAAAAAGATACAAAATAAATAAAAAAATACAAACAAAATTAAATGCGTGGCTGATTTTGTACCAAGAACAACACGAGAGTTAAACGCATCATCACACCACCGTGAGTCCAGCCGAGCTTCCCAAATTCCCCAACCAGCGCCCACGCCTCGCTCCAGTGAACCGTCTGCACGGCCAGTCGAGCAACAACAACCTGACGTCACCCTGCGATCATCCGCGACCGCTGAGAACCAGTTTAACGGGATTTTGGAGATAACGCTGGACACGAGTTAAAAACTGGAAAACTTCTGCTCTGCTCCAGGCTCTGAGGCTGAAGGCAGACCGCCAGTTCACAACGAGTGTTTTAAATAACGCGGCAGTGAAATAAACCAAAGGTCTTCTGCGGCGTCTGAAGTGCCGGCTTTATTACGTGTGGGTGTTATCAGGTAGCCCGGTGGTAACGCCAGCTCTGTCAACACGCACGGGAGCAGCTGTGGAGAACTAGGCAGGTGTTAAACACTCAGAGTGAAGGAATCGTCGGTGTGAGGCCGAACGGCCGAGCGGGTGTTTAACGAGGAGCCGATGAGGGACGTTGGTTTGAAGGAGGCGTTCGCTCGCTCACCGCACGCATCGGTCAATACGCCGTGACGACATCCGGGCTCTGGTGAAATAAACGGGAGATCAAGACGATAAACCAAGAACTGACTTCTATTAGTGACACGGTTCACTCAGACCCACAGCTAAAAGGCAGCCGAACTCTGCCTCGACGCTCTTTTGTTTGTTTCTGACCCTTCAGCTTTGACTGCATGATCACCCTTTTCCTTTGAAGGAATGCATATCGCTCGCCGTCGTCCACACCAAACTTTTTAACAAAGATTTTGCACGACCTAAGTGCTTATAAATACTCGTTGGAGATGACTCTCGGCTACTACCACGTCACCTTCAGCTGAATATCTGTAAAACAGACTATCACCATTTTTGTGTTTTATCAAATGGGTTGACTGTGGCGGCCATCTTGAATTGGGTTGGCTTGGAAATTTAACTATTTATATCCGATGATTATTTCCTGGAAGTTTTTTATTAAAATGCATCCGATGGTTCAAATCTTTTTTAAATTTAGTTTTGTATGGAACCCTTCTCAATGGTCTTCGTTGGCACCTTGATCCAGTCTTAATTTAGATTCCCAGTAAAGCGCTTTAACTTCATGGACTGGAACATCCACTCTGAAAGGTTTCAGGAAGAGGTGCAGCAGAAGAAAAGCTGACCTACATTCCTGCCTTCCTTTGAGCTGGAAGGTTTCACTTTCGCATGAAAAGCAGGTTCAACGGAAGCGGCGCCTCACCTGCGGCGTACATGACCGCCAGCATGATGGAGGAGATCCACGCGATCTGACTGTAGGAGGCGTCGAAGATGATCTGGATTTCCTTGAAGAACACCGTGATGGCTTTGGGGAAGGCGTAGGAGAAGCCAATGGAGATGAAGGATCCGAGCACCACCGCCCACCCCCACCCACCATCTGGTGGGGTCACGGGGGCGGGACCTGTCTTTGGGGGCGGCATCGTTGGCCCACCTCAGAGCTGACGGCTAACTGAAAGAACAAAAAGACAACAGTTTATTATAAATTTTAAACTAAATAAACTATAACATACACTTTGTGTGAAACGGCAGCGTGAACGCAGAGCGCTGACTGTCAGCTGAACGTTGACGAAGAAGCAAAAACTGAGTTGATAAAGCTAAGAAATGCTTAAAGGTAACAAGAAACAAAAGGCTAGTTAAAGGCAGCAAAATGCTAGCTAGATGCTAAAAGTTACAAAAGGCTACATAAAAGCTAAAGTAACAAAGGAGCAACAAAATCTAAATGTAGCAATATGCTACCTCAAAAACTTTGAGTTGAGAAAAAAGTTAGCCAAATGCAGCTAGACGCTAAAAGTAGCAAAAAATAGAAACAATTTTTAAAGTAGCAAAAGTATAGGTACAAGCTAAAAATAAGAGAGCGGTAAAAATTAAAAGTAACAAATGCCTAACTAAAAACTAAAGTAAGAACATGGTAAGAAAATCTAAATGTAGCAATATGTTGCCTAAAAGAATAATAGTAGAAAAAGGCTAGCTAAAACTAGCAAAAAAGTGGCTAAAAGTAAAAAAAAAAAAAAAAAGTCAAATTTAAAATGAGCTAAAGGGCAGGGAAAAACTAAAATTATCAGAACAGTAAATAAAACTAAAAGTAACTAAATGAAAGCTAAAAGCTAAGGGTAGCAAAAATGACTAACTTAAAGTTAAAAAAAAAACTATCTTAAAGCTAAATAAATAAAAGCGCTAGATAAAAGCGGAGTAATAGAATAATAGCTAAATGCTAAAGTAACAAAAGGGTAACAAAATCTAAATGTAGCAACATGTCTAAAAGAATAATAGTAGAAAAAAGTTAGCTAAAACTAACAAAAAAGTGGCTATAAGCTAAAAAAAAAGGTTGGTGAAATTTAAAGTACCTAAAGGGTAGGTAAAAGCTAAGTGACAAATGACTAGCTTAAAGTTAAAGTAAGAAAAGGCTAACAAAATCTAAACGTACCAATTTGTTACCTAAAAGAAAAATAGTAGAAAAAGGCTAGCTAAAACTAGCAAAACAGTGGCTAGAAGCTAAAAGTAAAAAAACATATATGGTGAAATTTAAAAGTAGCTAAATGGTAGGGAAACGCTAACATTATCAGAACAGTAAATACAGCTAAAAGTAACAAAAGGGAAGCTAGAGTCGCAAAAATGACTAGCTAAAAGTTTTAAAATATTTATCTTAAAGCTAAATGAATAAAAAAACTAGATAGAAGCTAATGGTAATAGAATGATAGCTAAAGCTAAAAGTAGCAAATTGCTAGCTAAAAGCTAAAGTAACAAAAGCGCAACAAAATCTAAATGTAGCAACATGTTACCTAAAAGAATAATAGTAGGAAAAAAGCTAGCTAAAACTAGCAAAAAAGTGTCTGGAAGCTAAAATTAAAAAAATATGGTGACAATTAAAAGTTGCTAAAGGGTAGGTAGAGGTTAAAATTATCAGAACAATGAATAAAACTAAAAGTAACAAAGGAAAGCTAAAGGCTAAGAGTAGCAAATGGCTAGTTAAAAGAAAAACATATCTTAAAGCTAAATAAATAAAATAGCTAGATAATAGCTAAGAGCAATAAAATGTTAGCTAAAGCTAAAAGTAGCAAATGGCTAATTGAAAGACAAAAGTATCCAAAGGCCAACTAAAGATAAAAAGAGAATTAAAATGTTGAACCAGCAGCTGAAGCTGATTTTAAAGAGAACATTTTTTTAAGAAATTAAAGATAAAAGTGAAAACATTGGCAATTAATGTTGAATATTTTGAAAACTATAAAAGTAACAAAACCCAAAGTCATAGAAACCCGTCTCGTGAATGAGCCGAACGTTTTGATGCATGAACAGGTAAAATAACACAAAGTGAGCAGAAGTAGTCAGGTTAAAATAACATTCAGAAATCAACAGTGTGAATCAGCAGTCACAACTAAATGTATGAGAAGAAGAAAAACATCCCTCTTGTCCCGGACAACTTAAAAAAGCAGTTTATTGGAAAATCTCACCCGCTGCAGCTCTTATTGACAGTAAACAGCTTAATGTTCAGTAGCAGAGTGACATACCAGAGCTCCACATCCTGAAAGAGGGGTGTGTACACACACACGCGCGTTACATGCTCGCACTCAAGAGGGCGTGAACTCACTCTACCTGAGAGGCCAGACTTGCCCCGCCCACCGTTCACCTTGAGCCCACGCCTCCGCCCTAAGGGCAGTGGAAACATTACGAGTCAAATCAAGTGACAGACTCAGGTGGTGGCGTGTGCACAAAGTCAACACGTCCTGTTTACACACCAGCAGTAAGTGTCAACATTCAGACGCAGGCTTCACGACTCGCCTATCGGCACGTCGAGTACCGTATCGTTCCCATTGCTTCACGAGCCGAGTGTCGTTTACAGCTGAACAATCAGCTTATGGTGTTTGCAGCAAACACAAGTAAATACATAATTATTGGAGATTACCGTCGCTGGACATAATTCAGTAAGTGTGTCTACGAGATAATAACCAGGAGAACAGCTGGCTCCACTGAGCGACGATGGTTCATGTCGTACAGTAGACCTCCATGAGGTCATCAAGGTTTCATGAGGGGACTTTCTGGGATTTTGTCTATTCAAGTCAGGTTTGCACCGTCAGACAGAACCCCCTATTATCCATCCTGCTCCATTTGAGGTAGTATTTTACTTTTTTGTCACTAGCTTGCAGTTGGTGACACAGAGTACAGGCAGGTTAATGAGAAGTGGCAAAGCTACAGAAAACAAGTACCAGTATTTAGAAATAGTGGTACTGAGTTCCAGTGAGTACTGGCCCCTCTTCGAGGACTTCACTAAAGTAAATCCTCTACTGGGCTGAAACTACGTTGTGACTCAAAATTGTGAGAAAAACATCAAATTCATTGCAGTCTCTTTGAATTCTCGTGGCTTATCAACGAGTTGTGGTCGTGTTTTCAATTCCGTCAAACTGTATTCATGGCCGTACACTTTATCTCAATGTCCACCTTGACAGCTGCCCCCCCCATGTTTTTGATTTAATCTGCTAAAGTGCACTTTCAAAATGAAAATAAACAGATTTGGACCATCCATCCATTATCATCTGCAGCCACGTTGCAAGATAAGAGGCGGGGTACACCCTGGACAGGCCTCCAGTCTACCACAGGGCCACAGAGGCAAACAACCATTCACGCTCACACCTAGGGACAATTTAGAATTACCAATTAGCCCAACATGATGTTTTTGAACTGTGGGAAGAAACCTGGAGGAACACACAGAGAGACCCTGAAAGGTCTCCAGCCAGGATGCAATCCAGCAACCTTCTCGCTGAGAGGCAACAGCTCTACCAACAGATTCAGACCAGTGTTTTAAAATTATAATTGTTTTCTGAATGGTTTTTACTTCTGGTCACCGGTCTAAAAACAAAGTTCTGTCCGTGGAGAGCTCCAGTTCAAGTGCCACAATACAGCTCTAGCTCTTTTCAGACAGGTTAACAGCATCAGCGACAAAGTCAAAAAACGGATTTGAGAAAACCGTAGCAACACTGTGACTATTCTGAGACAAAAACTGTCTCACAACTTTTTGAGCATGTTCAAAATTCAAGCAACAGGACTGTGAACGCCTACAGCTCAAGTGAGGGTTATAAGAACCACACAAAAGTCTTGAGCGACTCCCTCACCATCGCAACCAAGTGAGAAGCCCGTTAGAGTCACTGCTCCTCGTCCAAAAATGGTAACTGAGGTGGTTTTGACATCTGGTAAGGATACCTTCAGGACACCTTCCAAGAAAGATGTTTGAGACATGTTGTACCAGGAGGAGTCCTCTGGACTCAGTGGAGAAATTACATCAAACAGCTGGCCGGGGAGCACATCAGAAGTTTTCCAGATGAGCTAAAGGACGTATCTTGAGACAGTGAGATCTCTGTTTAAGGTGCTGCCATGGGACGTGGTCTCAAACAATCAGTATAGGATAAATATCTGGATGGACGGATGAACATGGACTAGTTAAGCTCCAATAAGAAGTCTAGAAATGTTATTTCAGCCACTCATCTCTCCCTTTTCCTAATACCAAACAGCCTGATTCATCACCTTTACAACAAGGTACAACTTGTAAAGATCTCTGAAATGAGCAACACGGATAAATGTGTGAGTAGTACCACCTAAGAAAACATACCCTGAAATACAACCCTGTTTGTATTCACTCCTTGTGGAACTTCACGTAGTTTAATGTTATTTAAAATGACCAGATATTGGGTAAAAGTATTTCTTCTTCACCATCACCACCATGAAGACCTAACCAGCCTTCCCATGAACTCCGTGCACCCATCCACACAAAATTTTACAAGACAGGATGACTAAGTCTATTCAGTAAATGACTCATGGAGAAAGCTTTTCACGAAAGATGCTGCAGTCATTCCTTGTTGCTGATTCGTAAGGACAGATTGCGGAGGAGGAAATACTCTCACATACCACATCGTAGTCTAAGATGAAACAGAAAGGAACTACTGGAACCTTACGTTTAGGAACGTTTGGGAAAATTAGATATTTACAATAAAAATAATTCAAATGAGGAATGAGATTAGGGAATCTATGGGACGAATATCAATGTATTGATTGCAACAACAAAAAAGAAAATTAAATAATGAAAGTAGCATTCCTTTCTAGACTTTGCAAATCCAAAGTCTTACCTACTTTTTTTTGTTTGTTTTTACTCACTTGAATTATAACTAAAGAGAGAAAAAAAAAACATCTTGTGCTAAAACCTGCTCGCTGAATGAAAATATAATCCTGACTTTTTAATCCTTGTATGGCCCCTTTAATCAAAGTTACAGATTGTGTCTTTTTTTTCCCCAGAGTCCCACACGGTGAATCTAATCCAAGCTAATCAGATTACAGCCTGTCCACCACAGCTTTCAGAGGAGATACGGGTTTTGATTGATTGAACGAGACGACAATGAACTCCATTTCCTTAGAACCCATAAGCAGCTTAAGTTGA